TGTGTGTGTATAAACTAAAACTGAATAAAAAAATGGATGACCAAGGTATTTCTGGAAAATAACAGATAATAATAAAATTAAATAAATAAGGAAAGCAATCATTGTAATTAAAGTGCTCAATATCAAAAGATCGACCATTTAATAGTAATTAATAAAATTTTGTGGCAATTACATTCACTTATCAGGGGAGATTTTTCTCTTCTTTTAATCATTTCATCCCCAGCAAGGTAGTAATGATACTAAAACACAGCAAGTTGCAGGTGAGTGAAGGAGAAGAAGAAGACTTTAGTGGGAATGATTGAGAAAAGGACAAAAAACGAACAGAGTTCTGAAAGATGTAATTATAAAATTGAATTTATATATAGAAATCATATTTTTCTTCAGGGATGATTGGAAAACAAATTTGAAAACAATTTCAAATACATTTATATCATACAATAAAGTCTTTTAGGAAGAACAAATTCAAATGAGTTTGTCATAAATTAACACCTTAACAATATTAATTGATGTCTTTAATATGTTGTTTATGAATGATAAAGTGAAAAAAATTCTGTATAATGTGTTTTGGGTATGGACTTATAATTCAAAACCATAGAAAGCTATTTGTATATTTTAGCAAAATGGCATAAAAACTGAAAACCTGAGTGGATCCAAGAAATGCTGAATGATATTTTCTTAGCAAACTATATTAGATATTTTCTGCAAGACACGTGTGTGCATGCTGAATGTAGAAAGAGTAGAATGCACATGTTGAGAAACTTGGGCAATTTTTTTATCTTTTTTTTATGAAATTTTGCATTGGTGTTTGATCTGTTGGTGAGTCTTTGTTGCTTTGCACATTTCAAGTGTCTTTCACAATATTTACAGGGTGTGTATTTCTGTAGAAGTTTCTGTTTCTCTGATAACATTTTTATCTTTTACTCTGGTTGTCATTTTGTTGAAGTTTCATATATATATATATATATATATATATATATATATATATTGGGGTCAAGTATTGATCAGAATCCAACAGAATGATTGGATAAAGAACAAATAGAAAATATTTAACATTTATCTATTGTACTTTATCCTATATATATATATATATATATAGTGGTGGCATCCTTTTGGTTTGCATGAACCGATTCTTAAAATTATAAAAGCTTAACAAACTGGTTGTTGGATTATCTGAAAATAATTTTAGAAATTAATGGCCGATGGTCTAGGTAAAATGTTAGTTATACTTACGCATGTGCCTAGTGAAACTCGAATAGACACTTGCACCCTATTGTTTTGAAGTTAAAAATGTAGCAAATCTTCTAGTCATAAATTTGATAGATCTATTAGATCTTTGAGACTAGCGATTCAATTCAAATATGGCTAAGAGACCATAACACAGTTGATGACACTAGCGTCAAAAAGCATCATGCTTCTGAACAGAAATATGATGAGAACAGAATTTCAATTTAGAAATATCTTAATGTTTTCTATTAAATTATCAAAATGGTTTAATTCTTTTTAATACTATAAAGTGATGTTTTTCCATTCTCAGATTGAAAAGAACATAAGCAGAATAAGGTTCTTAAAATAGGTACCTACATTTATAGAACCAGTTCCTGGGAAATTTAGGATGCCACCACTATATATATATATATATATATATATATATAATGGGTTTTTTTATTTGTTAATCCAACAGATTTTATCACTTTAAACATTATTCTGAGTAAAATAAGCAACTATTGTATTCTGGCCTCTACACAATTCCATTCTGAAATGCCCAAATATATGCCAAGTAATACAACAAATGACTACAAGATTGACAAGGACTTATAAAGAGTAAACATACTACACTACCAACAAAAAGATTAGAAAGAAAATCCTATCAATGTTAGAAAGAGCTATAACATTTAGTGGACAAAAGAAGTCTAATTCCTGAAAAACTGCCCCAATCAACAGCAAATAACTGTTCAGTCAATGAATATCAAATGAATAATCTTATATATATATATATATATATATATATATATATATATATAATCAAATGAATAAATATAAATAAATGTGCATGTAAGTGTTTACATACAAATACGTACATATATCCTTTGGTGTAAGAAAAACAGTGCTTAGTGTTGAATAACAGAGCTATTAAGTATATATTAATAAAAATACATAATACCCCATGCTGACAGTACAGCTTGGTGTTTCATGCCTAGTGCAATCTTCAGGTACTAAATGTTGTTTACAGTTTGGTTAATATTTCTGAGTCTCGCAAGTTTGTCGTGTTGTTTGGTTGAATTATTACTGTTGTTAAATATTTAATTGCGCTATAATCTAATTTTTAAGTTAAATTTAGGCTCAAACTTAGACTTAAAGTTGAAAATAAAAATTAGAAATTCTAATGTTCATTTAAAACAATGACATTTACAGACGCCATTGAAGGGAAATTGTATGACAAAGTGTATGACAAAGTGTAAAAAAAAAGTGTTTCATCATACAGGACTTCATCAGACTAAATTTATTATGTTGGTAGGACTACATATGTGCACAATAGGGGTGCTGGGCCTTTTGGAATTTAAAAAAACATTTTTTTATAGCTAGCTGTATTCATTTGGAGTCTTTTTCTTTCTGTCACTTTTATAAGTAGGTAATTCACACTGTGATATTAGAAGATCTGCCAGAAATAGTGTGGAATGCCTACTTACAAAAGTGATGGAAAAAAAAAAGAAAAGGCCTATAAATTAATTTGGCTAGATATAAAAAAAAAAAAAATTCTAAAAAATCCCACCACCCCTGTTGTGTGCATGTGTGTCACACCAACATAAAAAAAATTTAGTCTTAGGAAATCTTGAAGGACAGAATGCATCATAAGTAAACTTCTTCCACTTTGGCAGACGATTTCCCCAATTCTGTTCTTAACATATAAAAAATATCGTTATCTCATATATATATATATATATATATATATATATATATATATATATATATTCTGTTTATATTGTCTGTTTTATTTTATTTACATTCTGTCTAAAAATGTATGGGGTAACCATTGAGGATCAAACTCAGTACTCAGTCATAATTGATCTAGCAAGACAAGCTTGCTGACCATTACACTGCCTCAAAGTGTCCCAAATGATTTTCTAAGGGTAGCTCAGATGTGGCACAAGGCCAAAGGTAGGAGGCACCCAGTGAGGATCAAACTCAGTACTCAGTCATAATTGATCTAGCAAGACATACTTGCTGACCATTACACTACATTGAAAAACATGGAATTATGATCTATTATGACATCTCTCTAATTTGTATTTAGATACATTGTATTTATTTTCAATTTTTCTAGTTCAATTGTTCACCTATATTGCATATGATCCATTATTGTATATACTTAGGTTACAATAAATTTGTATTTTTTATATGAATACTACCTTATGAAAATTGAGTTGTAGTAAAGTGGGGAGCCCTGTATTATAGATGGAATACCAAATGTTTCTGGTATAGAAATAGCTAACTTTAATTGCTGACCTGGTTTGTCTCCATGGTCAAAACAGTAAGGTGTTCTCTATCATAGATGGCTTTCTATGGATGTGGGATGTGAATTCAAATCTTATCCGAGGTTACTCCTTTATTTTCAGTTCATGTTGTCTTTGTTTAATAGTTGTAAAGAGTAAAACATTTAGTCATGATAAAAAGCCACAAAAATAAGATGAATGATAAATAAAACAATTAATACTTTGTTTCTTGCTTGTTACCTAGTACCTAAGATTAATGACTTTGGTATTTACTTACCTTGTTTTCAATCAGTAGTTAACATTTTTCATACCTGCAATTGTACATTCCTATTATACCTGACACAAAATTAACAGAATACTATCATTTTAATTATTCAAATACCCTTCTAAAAACTGTATCAATAACATTTTAGAACTCTGCCTTAAATATAATACCTTTTTCCCATCTTATAAATATTTAAGCATTCTTTCACAAAAACATATTTTGGTATTTATAATCAAATAAATACCTTTTTTCTATTCATTTTTTTCAATACAGTCAAGTACAGATATGCTTCTTTCAGTATCAATAACCTCTTAGAAATTTGCCTTAAATAAAATACCCTTTTCCCATCTTATAAATATTTAAACATTCTTTCACAAACATATCTTTTTGGTATTTATAAACAAATAAATACATTTTTTCTATTCATTTTTTCAATACAGTCAAGTAGGGATACACTTCTTTCTGTATCAATAACATCTTAGAAATTTGCCTTAAACAAAATACCCTTTTCCCATCTTATAAATATTTAAACATTCTTTCACAAACATATCTTTTTGGTATTTATAAACAAATAAATACCTTTTTTCTATTCATTTTTTTCAATACAGTCAAGTACGGATATGCTTCTTTCAGTATCAATAACATCTTAGAAATTTGCCTTAAATAAAATACCCTTTTCCCATCTTATAAATTCTTAAACATTCTTGCAAGTTTTAAATACACCTCTCTGGTGTTCATAACTAAATAAATTCCCTTTCTTCTTTCATGCAACCAAATACTCCTTTATTTTATTAATATTTAAATAAACTAGTCTCCCATTTTGTGTTGCAACCTCCCTTTTAATCAAATACTCAAGCCAGTGACATAATATTCACATTGTATTGCTATTTTATACTTCAAGTTCCTGGTTAATATAAAATCTTTCTTGGATTGCTCTCTGGTTTTAAATTCCATATTAATTTTGGATTTCAAATATCTTGTATTCAAGTCTTGTCTGTTTTGTGCTCAAATGTTTTGTTACATACAAAAACGTTCGCGATTTGTGTCTATATGTATAACTGGTATTGCATTTACTTGTTTTTGAAGTGCTCTGTCAAATTCCTTATGCAATTTGAAACACCTGATTGGTACCTTACTCATGTCTCAATACTCCTGGCTAAATGCTAAACTGATTGGTTGTTTGATCCTTGTTGAATGACATAAACTAATTTAAGATTTTATTGACAGTTTTATTTTCAATTCAAATGCCAATTGAAATTGCCGTTGTCTTTGCTTTTCTTCTTCATTCTGTTTTTCTCTATTTTCTTCCTATTTCCTTTCTATTATTTTTCTTTTTCTTCTGTTTTCTTTTTCATTTTTTACTTTTTCTTATTTTTTTAATCATTTGTTTTCTGATTTCTTCTTTTTTCATTCACAAATTCTCATTTTTTTCCTTTCTTATTCTGATTTTTGCTTTTTGCTTTCTTATTCTGAATTTTTGCTTTTTTTCATTCTTTCTTTCTATGGTTTTATTTTGTTTAGTTTTGTTTTTTTCTTCATTTCTCTTTCACTTTTATTTTGGTTTTGTCTTGGATTTTTATATTGTCTGTTATCTTTTTTTTTTTTTTTTTTTTTATTTCCTTCTTCACTTGCTGATTCCTTTTTCCTGTAGCTTTTATAATTCATTTTGATTTTTTTCAGGTTAGCATCTTTTTCATTCCTTCATCTTTGTTTCTCCATTTCTTATTTTTTTCATTCATGATTTCTCAATCAAGTTTTGTTTTTTCTTTCTTATTCTGCTTCTTTTTTTTCTTTCACTTTTTTGTTCCATTTGATTTTCTTTATTCATTTCTCTTTCACTTTTTTGTTTTACCTTGACTTTTTCTTTCATCTGTTCTTTCATTACTTTTCTTCTTCACTTATTGATTTTGTTTTTTGGTTTATTGTTTATTTCTTGTTTTTATTTTCTTATTTTTGGATTTTCTTATTTTTCTATTTTTCATCTTTTTCATTCATTCATCTCTGTTTCTCCATTTTTTTATTTTTTTCGTTCATGAATCCCCTTTCAATTTTCTTTTTTATTTGTTTTTTCTCATACCCATTTTTAAAACTTTTTATGTCTTCTTTCCTTCATTCATTTTCCTTTTCATTTCTTTGTCTTTTTCCTTTATTTCTTCTTCGTCTTACTTATCTTCCAATTTTCACTTGTTTTCATTTTATATTTTACTCATTCATTTTTGGGTTTTTCTAAGATTCTTTCCTTGGTTTTTCCTTCATTTATTTTCTTCTCATAACTTTTTTTTTTTTTTTTTGGTAACTGACTTTTTCCAATTTGTCCTTAAGTCCTAACCCTTTTTTCCCCCTTTCCTTCACATTTTCCTTTGGTCCATTCTTGATCACACTTAAACCTTCTTTCACTTGCTCTCACACTTTTCCTGTTCTTTCTGAAGCCTTGTTCCCTACAAATCTCTTTCTCCCCTCATCTACTCTTTCTCCTCTCCTGAACACTTTCCTCCCTCTTGACTCTTTCTCCTCTCCTGTACACTTTCCTCCCTCTTGACTCTTTCTCCTCTCCTGAACACTTTCCTCCCTCTTGACTTTTTCTCCTCTCCTGTACACTTTCCTCCCTCTTGACTCTTTCTCCTCTCCTGTACACTTTTCTCCCTCTTGACTCTTTCTCCTCTCCTGTACACTTTTCTCCCTCTTGACTCTTTCTCCTCTCCTGTACACTTTTCTCCCTCTTGACTCTTTCTCCTCTCCTGTACACTTTTCTCCCTCTTGATTCTTTCTCCTCTCCTGTACACTTTTCTCCCTCTTGATTCTTTCTCCTCTCCTGTACACTTTCCTCCCTCTTGACTCTTTCTCCTCTCCTGTACACTTTCCTCCCTCTTGACTCTTTCTCCTCTCCTGTACTTTCTACCTTTTTCTACTCTTTCTCCTCTCCTGTACTCCTTCTACCTTTCTCTACTCTTTCTCCCCACCTCTACTTTTTCTCCTCTCCTGTACTCTTTCTCCTCTTTTCTACTGTTTTTTCCCACTTGACTATTTTGCTCCCTCTTGACTCTTTCTCCCCTCCATTCCTGTCCATTCTTAAAGGTTAATCTCTTCATTTTTTCATAGTTTTTAAAATGGAAGTAACTAAAAGAAAAAAGCAAAAAAAACATGCTTGTAGATATTGTAATATAAAACATTTGATTGGCCAACCATGGCGCTAAATGTATTTGGTTAAGACAAAGGTTCATTGCATTTTTTTAAGTGAATTCCAAAGACAATATTCAGATATTTGTACATTTATTTATTCAACCACATATGTGCAATTTTGTTCTATGACCTTTTGCCATCTTTGAGACAGCTTCATGGCCTTTGCCAGGTCTTCTTTCCCACCACACACACTACGCATGAACAAACACATCCCCAACTTTCAACCCAGATATTGGCACACAGTCAAGAGATGTGAAAGAAGCAGGTCAGATACTAAGTAGCACCGTGACCCTATGACCACAAGTGGTCATAGGACTGATAATAATATTGTAAAAATAATCAGGAATAAAGGGATGGTCAGTGGTCAGGAATTAATACAAACATGAACAACAGAATAGTGGTATTATACATATGATTTAAATTAATAGCTAATGGATTTTATTACAGGAATACATTGAGCACCAGGAAAGTAGGTATTTTCAATGTTCAGGAATTTTGTCTTTAATCATTTCCTATTCTTTCTGAAGCCTTTTGTTCCCTGCAAATCTTTCTCCCCTTTTCTATGCTTTCTCCCCTCTTGACTCTTTCTTCTTCCTTTCTCTACTCTTTCTCCTCTGCTCTACTCTTTCTCTCCTCCTCTCTTTCTCCTTTTCTTTACTCTTTCTCTCTCCCTGTATTTCTTCTCCTTCTTCTGTGCTCTTTCTCCCTTTCTGTACTCTTTCTTTCTTCTTGACTCTTTCTCTCCATCTTCACTCACTCACTCACTCACTCACTCACTCACTCACTCACTCTTTCTTTCTTTTTTCTTTCTTTCTTTCTTTCTTTCTTTCTTTCTTTCTCTTCTCTACTCTTCTCCTGCACTCTTTCTCTCCTTCCCTACTTTTACTCCCCTCCTGTACTCTTTTTCCACTGTTGACTTTTTCTCCTCTCCTGGACACTAGGGGCTACCAAGCGTAAAAGAATTAGAATAAGAAAAACATTATTAAGATGGGAGAACAATAAAAGGCCTGGACTTAAAAGATAATGACTGACATTGCATTACATTTTTGAAGATCAAAGATGACTGCTCCCTAGCTGAAGATCACGCTGCAACAGCACTGACCTGCTGGCCAAACTATGTAAGAATAGCCAGTCAGGAGTTTGCTGGCTGGTGAAAGGCAATCACATCAGTCCAACTTGCAACAGCACCACTCCTTCCATGTCAGCAGTCCAGAACACCAAAATGGCAGCCTCACCAGCCATCTAGCCTGCCTTGAGCTAATAACCTAGCCAGGTGAAACCTTCTATTGTTACAATACTCACCAGAAATTTTATCTGGACTGCCTCCAATTGATTGGACCCCTGGCTAGAGTAGAGACTGGGAAGCAAGATCCCAGAAGAGAGTTTTCCGCAAGCAAGATATGTGAGAGAGAAAAAGCATAAAACCTATGATTATTTTTATCAATTTCATCTCACTGCCAGTCTAGTAATGCACTTAAATTTGTGATTAAGCATTACCAATAGAATAGTACTATTATATGTATAATGTAAATGCATTGTTAATGATTCTGCTATAGAAATTAGGCTTTGTATATATCTACAAACATGTTTTTTAGTCTTAATATTTCCATTATTAAAAAATTATCATTTTGTGCATTTAGTCTATTTTTTCATTTCCTTCTCTTTCATTCAGTTTTTTTATTTGCCAAAATATTGTTAAAAAACAAATAATTGTAAAACATATACAAATACAGTAAAAACCAAAGTCAATAAAATTATTATTTTCTTGGCAAACTTAATCTTTGTGTCCACAAAAACTGGATTGTCAAAAGGACAGTTTTTCCCTTGACACTGCTGTTATTTTAACTACCTTCACTCCTCAGCAATGTTTATTGTTTTAAAAAGCAATGATTAAAATTGTAATAAAACCTAAAAATATGATGAAAATGAATTTATACATTTTTTTATTCTTGGGGATTTCAAAATATTATTTGTTTATTAGATTGTTTACTTACAAGAATAATTTTATATTTACAACATTCTAAAAACTAATAAAATTGTATTTAAACTAATGCAATGCAATATTTATCATTTACCAATTTTTAAAGAAATAAATATGAAAACAGTTTTTTGTTCATAAATTTATAATCATTTACTAAATTATTAAAATAAATGGCCTACCTATAAGGAAATCTTTATTATTTACCATTTTATGAAGTTTGAATCGATTTGCCATTAGCTGATATTTTGCCAACCATTCCAATAAACAATCTAATAAATAAATAGTGCTTATTATTTTTGTTGTAAATTCTCAAGAAAAAGAAAATATATAAATTTAGTTTCATTATGTTTAGGTTTTATTACAATTCTAATCATTGCTTTTAAAAAAAATAAACATTGCTAAGGGAGTGAAGGTTGTTAAAATAATAGTGATGTCAAAGGAAAAACCATCCTTTTAACACTCTGTTTTTTTGCAGGCACACATTTCCATGTTTGCCAATTTCTTTAATGTTTTAGTCTCATTACTAAATATTTCATGTCTTATATTTAAAAAAAAATAATGTCCCAACACTAAACACATCAACAAAGTAGATATAAAATTGTCTCTTAATTTTAAAAATAACTCTTAAGCAATTTGGTAAACTTGCTAATTTTCTTTCTTTGTATTTGTAGCCATTTTCAATGGCTTTGTAAAGAAAGTATTTTGATTTTTCAAATTTGTTGTTTAATGTATGATAAGATCTTTTTTAATTACAGATGAATGAACATCTCAGTTCTGTATTTTATTCAATTTAATAAAGTCTTCAGTTATCCTTATTTTTCTTTGAAAATGAACTTTTCTCCTACAAAATAAAGGATAAAGTTAATTATTGGTCAAACTTTTCTTTGATAAAAAAAAAAAATAGCAGTATATTTCAGTGAAATTAATATTGGCTGATGATTGTACAATTTACACAACATGGTGGTAAAATCTTACACCATATGTTTTCTTTGTTAATTTCTATACCTCAACCTTAACTTGAGTGTTTGTATTTACCTACCTTTCAAAGGGTGTAGGGCACAATATATGCACAATTCTCTCTTA